CTCCTAGCTTTCCTGCTCCTCTGATGCTGCTTGGCCTGCTGTGTTCATCCAGTTCTACACCTTGTTATCTCAGATTTTCCAGCGTCTGCAGTGCCTACTATCTCCAATGAAATGTTGGTGGTCTGTCCTGCTTGTTGTTTACGTGGTCCAGTGTGATGTGGTGGTTGGCCTCATTTCTGCTTCGTTGTGGTTGATTATATGGGATCTATTTCCACGTGTGTTGATGGAGTTACACGTTGAGTACCAGGTCTCTAGGAAATCCCATGCGTGTCTTTGGTTGGCTTGTCCTTCGATAGTTACTTTGTTCCAGTCGAATTGGTGGCCTTCTTTGTCCGAGTGTATGGAAACGAGTGATAGTTGGTCACGTCTCTTGGTAGCGAGTTGGTGCTCGTGTACCCTGAAAGCTAGTTTTCTCCCGGTCTGTCTGATAGTGTTTGTGGCAGTCCTTGCATGGGATTTTATATATAACGTTGGTCCTGTTAGTTGAGGGTATGGGATCCTTTGTTCTTGTCAATCGTTGTCGTAATGTAGCTGTGAGTTTGTGTGCTACCACGATTCCTAGTGGTCGGAGTAGCCTGGTGGTCATTTATTCTATTCTATTCTATTCTATTCTATTGAGCAAAAAAAGTTTCATTCCTTTAAGTGCCTTGGATATTCTGCAGAATATTTTCTACAATTTATTTTATACTTTCTTTCATCTTGCTATTTTCCCAATAGAACACAATAACCACCATTTGCCACTCTGCTAAGCACCTCTAGGGAACAAAGCAGCTGACACAGAGACACAATATTTAGACCATTTTGTTTTACATTGTATCTTGTCCCATTATGTCAACTTCTAAAACTTTTTTTTTTCCCTGTTGTGCAATACAAGGTCTTTCCTCTCTAATTTTTTTTATTGCACGTTTATGAGATAACTCCTTTACCTGCCATGCTAGTGTGTTAAATAATTATTTTATTAATATTCTGGAAGGAAGTGAATCAAATTGTTACCAGTTTAAAGGGTAGCAGTGGAAGGGTGAGTTTCTGAATGGAGGGCTGTGATTAGTGGCTTTCCTCAGGGATCAGTGTTGGGACCTTTGCTAGTTGTAATATATAAATGATTTGGGAGAAAATGTAACTGGTTTAATTAGTAAGTTCCAGATGACACACAGATTGGTGAAATTGCAGATAGCGATGAGGACTGTTAGAGGATACAGCAGGATATAGATCAGTTGGCAACTTGGGCAGAGAGATGGCAGATGGAGTTTAATCCGGAAAAATGTGAGGTAATGCATTTCGGAAGGTCTAATCCAGATGGAAAATATACAGTAAGTGGCAGAACCCGTAAAAGTACTGATAGGCAGAGGGCTCTGGGTGTACAGGTATACAGGTCACTGAAAGTGGCAATGCAGGCGGAGAAGGTAGTCAACAAGGCATACGTTATGCTTTGCCTTTATCGGCCGGGGCATTAAGTTTAAAAGTTGGCAAGTAATGTTGTAGCTTTGTAGAACCTTAGTTAGGCAGTATTTGGAATATTGTGTTCAATTCTGGTCGCCACACTACCAGAAGGATGTGATGGCTTTGGAGAGGCTACGGAAAAGATTTACCAGGGTGGTATGGAAGGCATTAGTTATGATGAGAGGTTGGAGAAACTTGCGTTGTTCTCATTGGAATGATGGAGGTTGAGGTGCGACCTGATAGAGATCCACAAGATTATGAAGGGCATGGACAGAGTGGACAGTCAGAAGCTTTCTCCCAGGATGAAGAGTCAGTTATTAGGTAGCATAGGTTTAAGGTGCGAGGGGCAAAGTTTAAAGGTGATGTGTGAGGCAAGTTTTTTTACACAAAGATTGGTGGGTGCCTGGAACTCGCTGCCGGGGGAGGTAGTGGAAGCAAATAGGATAGTGACTTTTAAAGGGCGTATCATATTGACAAATCATATATTGACAAATATATGAATAGGATGGGAATAGAGGGATATGGTCCCCGGAAGGGTAGGAGATTTTAGTTGTGACGGGCAGCATGTCGGAGCAGGCTTGGTGGACTGAAGGGCCTGTTCCTATGCTGTAATTTTTCTTTGTTCTTTTGTTCTTGTTCTTCTCTTTCCCCAGAGGAAGTACCATTTCACTTTTCATCCTACATTGGGCTTAGCAGTTGGGGATGACTCCTCTAGTTTAAATGGCTGGACTTTTCCATTTCCTGGAGTATTTTTATTAGATGAATTTGTGAATGAAGAGGAGGAAACTAAGCTGGTGAACCTGATGGATAGTGATGAATGGAAGCCATCACAATCTGGACGCAAGAAACAGGTAGGTTTTCCTGGCTCAAAAAACGTGCAATGTATGGGTCATTGTTAGAATGCTGTTTATATATTCCACCTGTCAGCACTTTTTTGTATGAATGACAATACGATGTGTTATCTTATGACAGATTCAGCATAGCTCAAACCAACTTCCTGTCACTTTGTGGCACAGCCTGTGCAAAAGCTCCCAATTATACTATAAGAACTGATAGTAGGAGTCCCAAGTATCTAATTGGCAATGTACTGCATTACAAACTGATCTCTGATGCAAATCAAACTTTGTATTTTAAAGTATTCTACTACCAACAGCTAAAAGAAAATATGCACGTATTTAGACTGATCTTTTCACATTTCCTGGTTTGGAGGTTTACTTTCCTGTGTTTTGTAATATCCTCAATCTCGTGGAATGTGATGTTGAACACCACATCAGCTAACTAGAAGCATTCATTTTTCTTTTTTGCTGAATATTTTTGTTTAAACAAGTAAGAGAGTTAAGGGGGTTCCTGAGGTGCACAACCTTAAATCAATTTCAATTATTTTGAGTATCATCTATATCCCTGAGTGTTTCTGTTTAACATTATAATGGCATCTGGGTAATTTCAGTCTGGAATCTGTTTGTGACAAATCATATTTGATTTCCTTTTCAGAACAAACCCAAAGTAATCTTGCATGGGCAGTTTTTTTAAACAGGGTTTAATGAATAGGTCATAGTGTGGTGTAATAAACATTAGCAAGTAAAACTGACTAGATAATCAGGAAAGTGAAGCAATCTGCGGTTATTTTAGTAAGTTCACATTTCTAATTTCGTGATGATTCCCATAACCTGAAAGAAATATTTTGCTTTTTTTTTGGAGGAACTTTCACATCATCAAGTCTTTCTAAAGTACTGCACAATAATCTTTGAAGTGTTGCTACCATTGTAATAAAGGGAAAGGAGACAGCCAAGAATCGGTGATAACAAGGTGTAGAGCTAGATGAACACAGCAGGCCAAGCAGCATCAGAGGAGCAGGAAGGCTTGCTGTGTTCATCCAGCTCTACACCTTGTTATCTCAGATTCTCCAGCATCTGCAGTTCCTACTATATCTCTAGCCAAGAATCAGTAATCACAATAGGCAATCTCCTTTTTGCGATTTCAGTTGAGGGCTAAATATTGACTCACTGGCAGAACTCTCCTGCTGTCCAAAGGATAATAGCGTTAGTACTTTCACAACCACCTGAGAGGACAAATAGGAGTTTCTGTTTAATGTTTCATCTGAAAAATGGTATTTCCAACACTGCAGGACACCCTCTGTATAAGTTAATTACTCTACAACACTTTGTATATCCCCAAGTGGAATGTACAGTGTCTTATCTAACAAAATTAAGTAAAGCTGCTTTGTATTGTTTCCTGTGATATTACAATTTTCAACATTGGCTTTGTTATTTTCTCTGCTTTTTCACCTGCAAACATTTTCTGAAAAATTTTTACATTTAGAAATATTTTGTAATTGCTAGCAATACATAGATAATTTTCTTGCGTCTTCATATATTATTTTTTTTCTTTGTCAATATGCAGGATTATGGTCCAAAGGTGAATTTTAAAAAGCACAAGTTGAAAGTAGGAAGCTTCAGTGGCCTACCAAGCTTCAGCCGTCTCCTCCTAAATCGAATGATGCGGTATCCTCTGCTGAAAAGCTTTCTTCCTGTGGAGCAATGTAACCTGGATTATAGACCAGAACGTGGCTCTGCCATTGACTCACACTTTGATGACTGGTGGTTGTGGGGTGAACGTTTGGTCAGCCTGAATCTACTGTCTGAAACTATATTATCGATGTCTTGTGACTCAGACGATCTCATCCAGCTCCATCATCAGTCCTGTGATCCAGTAACTGATAATTCAGACAGCCTTTGTAATTTCCATGCAGATGATACTCAATTTCTGTGCACTGATAACTGTAGTGTGAAAAGCACCAGTGACAACTGTCAAAGGCATGTCCCTTACAAAGACATAGAGGTAGCCATTCATTTGCCAAGGAGATCTTTAATTGCTTTATATGGTGATGCACGATATAAATGGAAACATGGCATAAACAGGGAAGATATTAAATCAAGGCGGATCTGCAGTACCTTTAGAGAGCTATCAGAAGAATTCAGCCATGGAGGGAATCAAGAGGCATTGGGAACAGAGCTCTTGGATCTTGCATTGAGCTTTCAAGGTGTTCCTGTATGAAATTACTGTTATAAAATGTCAAGTACAAGTAATCTTCATTACAAATTCAGCTTTGGGATATCTATAAAAAAAAATAGTTGTTATTTAACCCTTCTTCTTATGCTGTGGTCTGGATCATATAGGATGTAATGGATGTTCCAGTACTGTCCAAACCTTTGCAGCATTATAAATGTTTCATTAGAGTTGTAAAAGAGCAGTGAGATTCTGAACTGATCTTTTTTTTTATCTCTGCTGCCCCATTGAAAAACATCTGTCCACTCCTAATCTTGCCCCTTTTAAGCAAACAGTTGTCTTTAGGCAGAAATTATGGAATCAGAATCATGCTTTAGCACAGTTATCCACTAATGTACTGTGCACACGAGCCAAAACGAGGCTTTATTGATGAGGGAGATGATACATGATACATGAGGCATGTGTAGGGAATCTATAATCTATTCAATGCACATTTAGTGAAAATACATGTTGGTTTGAGGGTTGACCAGTTGAGAAGATGATGTCTATTTTTAATTAATGAACTTATTTTAAATTAATTAATGAATACACAGTTCAAATTATGTCAACCTGTCAAGTTTTTTTCCTCAGAAACCAATGATTGGGGTTTTCTCAAAGCAAGGAGGTAGTGATCTATTTTACTTTCAAATATTCAGATTTTAATTTGAATAAATGCTAATATTTTTAAACAATTTTATGCTCTAATCTAACTTCGAATGCCATGTTTGAGTAATTAAAGTTAATATTTTGGAATTCTGTTGCCCAATGAGCTTAACCTTTTAAGTAATTTTGAACAGAGAACTAGGTTGTTGCATATCGAATTACCGTTTCTAAAATATCAGTTATTTTGGAATGGGACAGTCCTTTCTCAACAATTTACATTTCTTGGATTAGCACCCTACCTAGCATTTAACATTCTCTCTTGGCTTAGATCAGCAACTGCTTTGGCTGTCTATTCCTTCCTTTTCTTGCTCTCCCTCCCTCTCCATCCCTCTCCCTGTCCTCCTACTCTGCCATCAGCACAAATACCACCCTTTCCCAGTTATATTCAATTCTGACAAAGGGTCACTGGGCTCAAAACGTTAACTCTGTTTGTCTCCCTACAGATGCTTCCCGACCTCTGCTGAGTTTCTCCAGCACTGTTTTTGTTTAAGCTTCACCTGCCTTCCTGATGTCCAACCTTCCAAATATACATTTTCAATATTGATTCAGCTCTTTCCACTGAAATACACTTGCATAAATGAAGCAAGATACATCTTACTTATGGGAGTATGTGACACTCCATGTAACTATCACTCTGCTGGATGGGTGTCCCATGGGAGCCTTGCCTGGCTGATTACCTCTGTGGTAGTTTTGACGTGATTTTGTCTACTACAGCAACAGTCATGCCTCCCCACAGGCCTCACCAGAAACAGCAGTACCATCTGAAACTGGCCGGCCAAAAGACCTAGAAAAATTTATGAGACAGTTGTGTGGTGCACATGGATCAGGATGCCAAGCAGTGTGAGGTATCACTCTCAGAAGGCACAGCATACGGAGGGTTTGAATAACCTATAGATCCAGATGGGATGCATCCCAGATAAAAAATCTCCCACGGGTGCTTATTTGGTAGTGCTCTGTGAAAAATGCTGAAACCACACAAGCTCCAACAAGACTCCATGCTGGCAAGAAGTCCGTCTCTACACCGACAGAAGAAATGGGAGTGAGACCCACAAGACTGTGGTGCATTTCTTATGCAGGCCTGGATCCAGGAGTCAGGCCAGGAGGATTAGGAGTTCCAATCAATGCAGACAAAGACATGAAAGAAGAAAATGTTTAGGCAGCCCACAACAGTTTCTTCAAGGATTTGGGAAGGGTCAACAATATTCTCAGCAATGAAACATTGGTTCCATATAGGCTGTCATATCCAGTCATCATTGAACTGACGTATGAAAGAAGTGCCATTAATAAACTTGTGATACATGACATCACTGACAGATTATTTTGTACACTCTCTGTAACTCTGTGCTTTCAACATTAGGCACTTCCTGCGTCCATAGGGATGAGAAACATCAGATTAAGAACATCCAGCAAGGTACTCCAAGTTATAGAGACTAGTCCCATTTGCCAGCATTTGGCACATAACCCTCTAAATCCTTCCTATTGATGTATCCATCCAGATACCATTTAAATGTCATAATTGTACCAGTCTGCATCACTTTCTCTGGCAGCTAATTCCATACACACACCACCCTCTGCATGAAGAATTTGCCCCTTACATCCTTGTAAATCTTACCCCCCTCACCTTAAACTTATGCCCTCTAGTTTTGGACTCCCCTACTCTGGGGAAAAGACCTTGCCTATTTACCATATCCATGCCCCTCATGATCTTATAAGCTTCTATAAGGCCTCCCCTCAGCCTCCGATGTTCCAGGGAAAATAGCCACAGCCTATTCAGTCTCTCCCTATAGTTCAAATCTTCCAACCCTGACAATGTTCTTGTAAATCTTCTTCGAATCCTTTCAAGTTTAACAACACTTTCCCAGAGCAGGGAGACCAGAATTGCACATAGTATTCCAAAAGTAGCCTATCCAATGTCTTGTGCAGCTGCAACATGACCTCCTAACTCTGATACTCGGTGCACTCACCAATAAAAGCAAGCGTGCCAAAGTCGCCTTTACTACCCTGTCTACCTGCGCCTCCACTTGAAAGGAAATATGAACTTGCACCCCAAGGTCTCTTTGTTCAGCAACGCTCCCCAGGACCCTATGATTGCCATCTGGAAGAATACCGAGCACTGTAGGAGGAAGGTCAAGTGACAAATAGCCCACGTCGCTAAGAAGTGTGACAAGTGGAGAATACCACACAATAGCCTGTCATTATGCTAAGTGCTAAGGTGGAGGACCTGCCAAACAAGTCAGCACCTTTACATGCTTTAAGTGCGAGTTAACATTCTCATCAAAAGTCAGCCTCAGCCAACACGAGCACCATAGGCATTGAACGCTCCACATTGAAAAATGGTTGGAGACCCTAAAAGTTAATGCAAAGCCAGGGACGAGATATTACAAATGGATTGAAGAAAAAACATATCATCTTTATCAATTATAACAGCAATTTGCAGGACGCTCATTTATAAATAAAAAGATCACCAGCTTCCTTACTACCAAAACATCCAAGCAAATTTCTGACAAGTGCAGTGTTGCAGGACACCCGCGTGGTAGCTCAACCACCAATCCCTGATGAGACTGAAGAAGACGCCATGGAGGTCGATCCATTTAACAAAGCTGATACCCAGAAGGAGGTCACCCAAGAAACAAAAAGGATCATTCGACCTCTGGCCTGTAATCCAAAAATCGTGATATTCACAATCAATCAACCCAGCATGAAGAAATATTAAGTAAGAAAGGTGACCCCAAAGTCAGAGCACTGGGGTTAGGGCTTATGGACCGATCACTGACTTTCTAATGACTGGAGGTGTTCAGCACAAAACTACTCCCAGGCCAATAGAACGTGGCTTAAGAAAGATTAAAAGATATGGATGTGAAAAGAACATGGGTGCAAAGAAACGATGGGCAAGTAAAAGACAGAGTTCAGAGAAACTCAATTGCTCTATAAACGTAATAGGCATCAACTAGCTCACTAGACAATTGGGATGGCAGCCAGAACTTTATGTCCCCTTTCTAAGGAGGAGCCCGAGCACAATTTCAGTACAAAATGATCAGTGCTGAGCAATAACATGGGAAATCTTGACAAATTTTTAATACTTCAGTCAAGGGGATGACATTCAGTTGATGCATCCCATAGCCAACAGGAGTCAACTCAGCCATCGTGGAGATAGACCCAAAGAGTGCAACTGGTCCAGTTGGAATGAAATTAGAGGATGTTCAAGAATATTCACGATGGAAATGCCACACGTTTGCCTTGACTCTTTGCTCTGTGGTTAAAAAGCAGCACCATCCTGAACTCCTTAAAAAAGAATCAGACTGGCTTGATTCCAAAAACAGAAGATGCAGAATGTCTGAGAAACATTGATAACTAGAGGAACATCACTGGCAACCCCAGGATGTAATGAAAACATTCACAATCCTGGAGAACATCATTAAAGATGCCAAATGGAATTGAAAGAACCTTTTATTTTTGTTGATCTTGCAAAGGCATTTGATTCAGTAGGACATAAATTACTAATTAAGGCACTACAGTGAGTCTGTCTCCCTAAAACATTCATACAATTAATCAATGACCTATACACACACATCATGACCGTAATCGAGGGTAACCAATCAAAATCAAACCCAATAAAAATTGAAAGGGCATTTAAGCAGGGGGACCTCCTGTTTCCAATATTCTTTAACATCGTGTTGAATTCATTGTTGTGCACCTTGGAAGAAGCTAATTCAGGAGTATCTATGATGTTGAACAACAAAAGAATGAATTACTCCACTCTAGCTTCACAGACAATTTTGTAGTTTTTAATGACTTGCACGCCGGTATGATGAAGAACCTTAAAAAGTCAAGGCATATTGTGATACCGTGGTCATACAGTTAATAACGCAAAGACCAAAGGTTTTCACTTTACTTCTAAAGACAAGACCTTCCAATATAATTGTGAAAAGATTTGGGTTACTGAAAAGAGATGGTATTGAATATATTCCCCCTGGAGCGATGGAGAAGTAGCTCGGTGCCCGAATCGATTCGTGGGCAGTGTTGCAGACATAGATTGGGTAGAAAAGTTTAAGAACAGGATAGCTAACTTGGAATTAGCTGCTTTCTGACCATTTCAAAAGATCACACTCATAAGAACCCATATCATTCTCAGGATGTATTAACGCTTGATCCTCAGGAAACATCCCAGAAAACATTCCACAAACTTGACTTAATTATCCATAATGCAACCAAGCAGTCTATTTGTCTCCTACTGAATATGACTGATGGCCTTTTATATATCAAAAAGAGGGATGGTGGACAAGGAATGCCTAAGCTCGAGGTTTAAATCGCAGCTGCTGCAATTCTGAAACCGGAATTAATCGAAGCATTCAAAGATCTTGCAGTACAGGCCTCATTCCAATTCTCTGGTAAGAACAACCTGGATACTCTGAAAAGACGATGAGAACTTAAGGTCCTGAAGGTGATTGAGACTTTTGTACAAAAGCAAAAATGCAAACCCTAAGTAGAAACAGAAGAGTCCATGAATCACCCTGATGCTGAACGAATAATATTAGAAACAGTACCTGCTACAAACTATGAGACATGGAGACATTGGGAATGGTCGAAAGGTTGGAGTTAAAAAGCCAAGAATCTGGGATTAGTTATTACAAAAATGATTGGTCTCAAATACTTCTATCAAATCATTGTATCAAATCATCATACAATATCAAATCATCAAAATTAATCAATGATTTTACTATTGCATTGTAATCTATATCTTATTAGGCCCACTCTATCAAGAGGTAGATGTGCACACTTAAGGAGTGTTGTAGATCTGAGGCCCCACTGGAAACATTAGCTCATATATCAGGGAACTGTCCATTCATTAAAAATGCACAAATCAAGTGGCACAACAAGATCGCTGCCAAGTAACAACAACATGTCGAAAAGTTTGGATGGATGACATTCATTGAGCTGCAGTTGAATGACAGACTGATCGCTATGGAAACTGGAATCTGATCTTCAAGAAAAGACCAAGAAACCATGATAGTTGGTGTCGCAGTTCAATTTGAGAATGATAGTAAAGCATTGGAAACTGCGTGGAATGAAAGAGTTATAAAATATAAACATCTAGACCAAGAGATCATGGAACTGACTGCAGGTTCTAAAGCTGTTCACTTCAGCTTTATTGAAATGGCTTAAATTGAACAACACCCTCGTACAGTTCTTTGGGATTCAGAGATTTATGTCCTTCACTTAGGACATCTCACATTTAACTATATCCTTGACACTGGAACTCTTACAAGTATTTGGTGAGAGGTGAATTAAGACAATAATTCCCGTCCAGCTTTTTGCCGTAAATGACTATCACTGCCTGTGTGGGGCTGGGGTTCATTGGACTGTTCGAGGACACGTGTGGGCACAATCACCAGGGATTTCAGTTGGCGGTTGGGAAATAAATTATACTGAATGATATCATTAACTTTATTAATAATTAAAATATAAACTATGAACTTTAATTATATAATTAATGTTTATTGTTTGACATGTTATACTTTGTTTATATTTTACAATTAATGTATATTTATTACTGTGTTAATACTATTAACACTGTAATATGGTGGTGGGTTACTACAACTAAGTTATACTTTGTTTATATTTTACAATTAATGTATATTATTTATTACTGTGTTAATACTATTAATACTAATGGTGGCTTACTACAACTAATATACATATCAAATGATGTAGGTGTCGTTGGACAACTAACCAAGGACTCTCAGATATTGGGGAATTAGTCCTTCAGCCTTCTGATGTGACATTTCATCCCTGTCCTCTGTCAACACCAGAGGTTCCCTGTGAGAAGTTTCAACACATCGATGAGCAACACAAGGCACTCTTGTGAGTGTCCCCCAAACTGTCACATCGCACTCCCATCAGGCAGCAAGTACAAAATAAAGCTGTTTGCTTGTAGTTGTGAGCTATCACCTCTAGATGTCTCTGCTGAATTTTATTTCTTGAAATCAATATTTGTTTACCTTTGTTTAAGTTATTAAGAATCATAGAATCCCTACAATGTGGGGACAGGCCCTTCAGCCCAACAAGTCCACACCGACTCTCAGAGCATCCCACTCAGACCCATTCCCTCTATAGCCCTCCTAACCTACACATCCCTGAACACGACGGACAATTTAGCATGACCAATCCACCTAGCCTGCACATCTTTGGACTATGGGAGGAAACTGGAGCACCCGGAGGAAACCCAAGCAGACACTGGGAGGATGTGCAAATTCCACACAGACAGTCGTCCAAGGGTGGAATCAAACCCGGGTCCCTGGCACCGTGAGGCAGCAGTGCTAACCACTGAGCCACTGTGCCACCCATAAAGTTCCAGGTATTCTTTCTGTAATGTTTTTGAAGTGGTTCTCTGTCTTTACTACTGGACATTTCTTTGATTTCATCTGGTCGCTATCCCCTTTGTCTCTGCCAGATGCTTGCCAAAACCATTACTTTCCAAATCAGCACTCTTGTAGCCAGTTCCTGGCCACCACAGCAAAATTACTGGGGTATAATAAGATTGATAATGAAATATTTAGAGTAATTAGGTTTATTTGCTTTCTATTACACAAATGGTCTCAACATGAAAGTCAAACAGAATGTTATCCTTTGAGGGCGGGGGAACATAGAAAAGATCATTCTAGAACTTTTTTTATTCACTTGTGGGACAGAGTTTTGGCCATCACTCGCTGCCCTAGAACTGAGTGGCTTGCTAGGCCATTTCAGAGGGGAGTTAAGAGTCACCCATATTGCTGAGAGTCTGGAGCCACATGTAGGCCAGACCAGGTGAGGATGGCAGATTTCCTTCCCTGGAGATCATTAGTGAGCCAGATGAATTTTTCCGACAATCAGCAATGGTTTCATGGTGATTAGTAGATCCGTAATTCCAGTTTTTTTTTTAAAAATTGAATTCATATTCCTCCATCTGCTGTGGTGGGATTTGAACCCAGGTCCCCAGAACATTAGCTAAGTTTCTGGAATAATAGTCTAGTATAATTATACCAGGCCATCACTTCCCTGTTTAGGCCTATTCCTTTCACTGTAATTTTATTTTGCACACTGATTTTTAAAAATAATTACACAAATTCTAAAGGAACTGTGCTGTACAGAGTTATTTAGGTCCACTTGACATGTCAAAGTACTATATAGCCAAATTATGCTGTGGTACATCTCCAGGGCAGATGGAATTTGAACCCAAACCATCTGATTCACAGATAGTGACACTACCACCACAACACAGGACCCTCACACTTTTGTTGGTAAATGTGACATCAAAATGCACACAGCAAGATCCCAAATTGTACAATGAGATGAATAAAAATTATTTTTTTTGAGATAGAGCTGCTATTTGAGAAGTAAATGTTGTATAAAGCATTAAAACTTTCTTATGTACATCTCATGCTGCAGAATCTCAATCTGCCTGAGTGGTCTAAAAAGGATGTAAGTTTAAACAAGCCTTGACTCAAACTGTAACAATTTCCTCATTGACTCAGAAGTTGTGGGTCTAAATTTCACTCTAGAAATCGTAATCTGAATTGACACATCAAGCATAGTACTGTGAGGCTTTTTTTTTCCCAATTAGTCAGATTTTAAATTGTCGCCCTATCATCTCAAGTAAAAGTTCCCATTGTCCCATGCAAAGAACAAGAATGTTCTCTCTGTGTTCTGACCTTTCTTTCCTTTCAACATCTTTAACAATAGAGATTATCATTATGATACTTCTGTTTTGGGAACCTGGTGTGTGGAAATGACTGTACATTTCCCTCATTACCAAAGTGACTGTGCTTAAAAGATCCCTAATTCGCTGTACACCATTTGGAATGTTGTGGTCATGAAAAGTTTGCAAAGGTAAATCTTATGAGATCCAGCTAAAAGACCACAGTAGTTCTGAAGTATGGTACCATAAATAGAAGCAGAGACACGTATTTTTTAAAAAGACACAACTAGTGTAAGGATCTGAAATGCATATGGCTGGAATACTTAGGTAAACAATACAGCTGCTTAAGTGAACGTAGCACCACTTCAGAAAAATAAGGTGGTGATTTAAAAAACTGCACAGAATACAATTAAATGAAACACTAGTCCATTTCGAAGATAGATTTACCTTTTTTAAAATCCCAGATGTCTGTTTATACCACAATGACACTATATTGATTTAATCTCGGATTTAAAAGAATTAACCCTGCAGATTTATAACTCGTCTAATTCTCTTCATTGTTTCATAAGTTTTTGGGAGAGAAATAAATGTATTTGCACCTATTGACTGGATTTACCAGGATGCTACTACTACCCCTTGTACCAGTCTGTGCTGTCTTCGTGAACGCAGCATTCATTCCAAATGATAATTTGCCTTAGAAATAATCTTCCGGACATGAATTTTCCCATCAGCCTTGTACAATTATTCGATTGTGCTATAGCATGACCCCGAATTGAGTGTGCGTCTGCGAAACCAACGTTGACAGGAGCATGAAATAAAGTAGACAAATGGGAACAGCGGTTCGCTTCTTCATTCCTAAACGTGCCAAGTGGATTATGCACTCAAATAAAATCAAAATACCCGGACTCTGGAGATTTTGAAATAAAAACAGTGCTGGAGAAACTCTGGTTTTGGAAGGAGAAACAAAGTTAACGTTTCGCGTTTAGTATGACTCTTGGGAGTTTTATAATTCTCCAGCACTGTGTTTTATAATTGATTATGCATTTTGTTTTTACACGTGGGTACTGCTGAAACCTTGGCGATATTTATAATTACAGAGTTCACTTTACGTGGCCTGTGTAATTAAGTCTCCCCCGCTAGATATGCACCATTATTCCGATAAAAGTTTATTACCAAGTTTCGTTTCTCGGCTCGCACCTGACACCAGCCGTCAAGTGTGGGCGCTCGCTGGAGCAGGGTCGCATGGGATTTGTAGTTCACAGCTGGTGAAACAGCAGCTAGGATTCCGGTGCCGCTGGCCGGAAAGGACTACAGTTCCCAGAAGGCAGCGCGGGCGTTGACACCCTGGAGACGAGGAAAACAGTGAGAGGGAGGAGTTTGAATCAGAAAGTTCTCGGTGTTTGTTGTCGTAGCCGATACAAACTCGTAGATCCACACGGGCATTCACTTTAGAGAGGACGAGGATGGCAAGTCAGGGCCTCGGAAATGGCGGGGCAGCTGCTGGAGGAGGGGGCCTCGGTGCCAGTGGCTCGGCTTTCTCGGTCACCCCTTTCCCTGTGTCGGGCCCAGGAGCCGGCCTGGGTCCGCTAGTCTCCGTGTGGGAGTGGGAAGACGAGGCGGGTCGTTGGAGGCCCTACAGCAGCCGGGTTAGCGAGCACATAGAGCGCAGCCTCCAGCATTTACAGGGAGCGGCTGCGGCGACAGCTAAAGGAATCAACAGCATCTCCCTGGGCCAGGCCGAGCCCAGGTTGGCCCCCTACATCATCGATATCCCCACACTCACCCAATTCCGACAAGACACAGGTAAGGCCAGCCCCTCGCTCCCAAAACTGTCAGCAAGATCTGATCAGTACTGCCTGATCACGTACTGATCATTCACAATCTTCAGCTTCACTTTTGGTGTTGCTATCAGTGGTTCATTCAGTCGACCTAAATGTTCACTCCAGGTGCAGATCTATTTGTTAAAATGTTTGCATTTCTTCTGTAAATTGCTTTGCTGATTTAAGCCCGAGGTGTTTTGACTAAGAAACAGTGTTTTCAAAAACTAATACTATCGAAAAGAAATCAAACATTAGCCATACTATTTTAAGGTTAAAAGTTTTCCACAGCACTACAGTTTGTTTAGGCTACTAAAACTAATGCATAGGTAATTGTTAATAGTTAATATTTAATTGTGAGACTAATCATTTCAATAATTTACCTTGGTAATAGTTGCCATTGTAATCAGGGTATATATTTGTCAGATTCCCCCTCTCTTTATTTCAAGGGGAGATGGTAAGGTACTAGTAATCCAGAAGCCCAGGCTTTTGCTCCAGGGAAATGGATTCCAATCCCATGACAGCAGTGAGAATTTAAATTCAGTTAAGTAATTCAAAAACTGATTATGCTAATAAGACAAATCTCGATTATTTTAAAAACCTAAGTAGTTTGTTAATTGCTTTTTGTAAAGGAAGTCTGCCACCTTTACTTGACCCAGCCTGCATGTGACTCCATACCCACAGCGGTGTCGTTTATTTTTAACTGCCCTGTGAAATGGCCTAGCAAGCCACTCAGTTCAAGGATGACAAGGGATGGGCGCCAAATGCTAACTTTGTCAATGAGCTCATTAATAATAGATAGTTGGAACTTTATCTTTGATATCTTCCCATAGTTGCAACTGTGGATCAGGGAAATTGGGGTCTTAGCACTGTGACTTTAAGTTTTGATATTCTGTGATTCTGCGTGTTGTGGAAATGTGCCAACTTACGATAGTTTGGAATGATTCATTTTTCAGGTTTTTTCGAGTCTGGAAAGAAGTAAGACAAATGTATGCTTTCTCAAGTCAAAAATAAGATTCCATATTTCGTTTGTGATTTTAGATCTAGACTTAGCAAAGTTACGTGAGGAATGATTCAAACACATGAAGTAAAGATGTGCTTTCACAAAGTTGAATAGCGTTGTCAGTGGCTCCTCCACATTGGAACTGCTGATTGTTCATACATGACCAGAAAACTGAAGGTGTTTGTGACCTTAAAGCTGGCTGTCAAGAAAGTTTAATGCTCCCTACAGGCATCATTGTCATGTTGAAATTGCAGTTTTCGGTGTTCAGATTTAGAATCTTTCTACAGCTTCATCTTGATATTGAAATCTGGCAGGAAGGAATCTATTTGGCTTGTCTATTGAACCAGGAGAGGAAAAAAAAAATCAGTTTTGCACAGCATTATACAAACGGGCTTTCTCCGGGTAGATGAGAAGAGAGCAAATAAAGTTGCCTTAGGATTTTGACTTCCATTTTAAACTAAAATACAATCTGGACCTTAACATTTTGGATTTATTGACTTTTTTTTACATGAGCTGCCATTTATTTTGTTAAATTCTAGTTGTGTTGGAGGTTTTTTTCCATGTGTTGGAGTTTTTGTCCATGTGTTTCATTAACAAAACCAGTGATTTGACAGTAACAGTACATTCAGTTAATGTTAAAGGATTGCTTTAACAATTGAGACCTGTTTTGCTGAGGCATTAGATTGCAAGAATGTTAATTTTTGTAGTAACTTTCATATCACATAAATCCCGAAGTTCTTTGCATTACTTTTTGCACATAAATGTTTTTGCCAAACACAACAGACAAACAAAAAATAGAAATTGCTGGAGAAACTCTGCAATCTGGCAGCATCCATGAAGAGAAAATGTGAACATTTTAAGTCCATTGACCCTTCTGCAGACCTTGACTCAGTGGACTTGACTTGTCATTTTATTGTAGTAAAATCCCAAAAACAAAAATTAGATGGCCTATTAATTTTGCTGGTAACGAAGGATACATATTGTCTAGGGTTCCATGCATATTTCCCTGTTGAGGTTGGTTGGCTCACCGAGCTGGTTTGTTGTTCCGCAGATGTTTCGTTACCATGCTGGGTAACATCATCAGTGCAGCCTCCGATGAAGCGTCAGTGTGTGTGTTTTCCCACCTGGTTTTTAAACTCTGGAGTCCGTTGAGCTGGATTGCCTCACTTCCGGTTTTCCTTCATAGTGGAGTGTATATAGGGTCGAGTTCTATGTATTTATTAATGGCTTTCTTCGTGGAGTGCCAGGCTTCTAGGAATTCCTGTGCCTGTCTCTGCTTAACTTGTCCCAGGATTTTGGTGTTGTCCCAGTCGAATTGGTCATTCTCCTTATCCATGGGGCTTGAGATGAGTGAGTATTGGTCGTGTCTTTTTGTGGCCAGTTGGTGTTCGTGTATCCTTGTTAGTTTCCTTCCTGTTTGTCCAGTGTAGTGTTTCTCACAGTCTCTGCAGGGGATCTTATAGATGACATTGATCCTGTCCATGGCGGGGAGTAGGTCTTTAGTTCAGGTGAGCAGTTGTCGTAGGGTTGATGTGGGCTTGTGTGCCACTCTGATGCCCAGCAGTTGTAGGAGTCTTGTGGTTAGTTCCGATGTGTTCCTGATGTTCTGCACTGATGATGTTACCCAGCATGGTAACGAAACGTCTGTGGAACAACAAACCAGCTCGGCGAGCTAACCAACCTCAACACCCACAACCCGAGCTACAAATCTACTCCAAAACCTTAGATATTTCCCTGCTCTTCAAGAGGGGAGCCAAGGCCTCAGTTTAACATCTTAATCAAAAGACGGCCTTTGCCAATGACACTTCTTCAGTACTGCACCTAACTGGCAGCCTAAACTTCTCACTCAACTCCTGTTTACTTAACCACAAGCTTTCTGATTTGAGAAGTGGAGATGCAATTACTAAAACCAAGTTGATGTACATGGACTGCTGATTCCCTAAAGGTTCTATTTATTGAAACTATTTTCTTTAGAAATGTAGGAATTGGTGAAACTTATTAGCTCCACAGTCACAGTTAGAAATTCACACTAGGCGTATTTGGCCTCTAGAGCTCTATCACGGGAGTTTAGTGTGACCTCAAATATTAATTGCTGCAGCTGGTATTGTGCAGATTATGGGAACTGTGGCTTGAATATTAGTTCCAACACAAAATAACTTTGATCCCAAGATCGTTATGATCATATCTTATTCTAGACTTCAGTTTCACTTGTTTGTGCCATCTAACTTGTCGAAAAAAATTCTCATCATGAGTCTTATTATGGATTTTTATTTTCTATTATTAGGCACTGAGTAGTTTTTAACCTAAGTAAACTGGAAGGATTGCTTCCAATCCTTGTGATCCAATTTCTTATCTATTACTGCTGAAACCAATTATTTTCTTATTCATTTATGGGATGTAAACATTGTTGACAAGGCCAGCGTTTGATTTGCATCTCTAGTCGCTGTTGAGAAGCTGCTGGTGTGTGTCCTCCTGAACTGCTACAGTCTATGCAGTGTAGATACACCTGCAATGCTCTTTTAGGGGAGCACGATCAGGTTTTTAACTATGACTGTAAAGTAATTGTGATGTCCTTCAAGGTCAAGATGGTGTATGGAGGAGAGTCTGCACGTAGTGGTGTCCCCATGTGTTTGCTGTCTTTGTCCTAGTAGCTAGTAAAGGCAATGACCCAGAACCTCTTTCCATTGGAATATGTCCATCCAATAATAATTATATTGAAAAACACCCACTTACTTTTCTGTGTTTTTGATGGCAAGACTTCTCGGTCCGGTGTGTCCTGGATCTTTCATTTTAGGCTCCTGTCTAAGCCTGAATGTACTGCAAGGGGGGGCAAAGCCACCAAACACCACCACCCAAACCCCAGAAGACCTGGGAATGAACACCTCTTAATGGCAGCAGCAAATAGCATAGAGTTTAACACTTGTGACAAGCATTATATAGATGTTATATGGTTTTTTTCAATTACTTTTCTATTCCTTTTAAGCATCTAATATTTATTTTTATTGATTAATTGTGAAATCATTTTCAAAACCTCTTTTAAAGGTTTCATGTCAAAATCTAGTTAGCTTTTGCTCAATTTTTTAAATCACTTCTAGTGAATGAATGTGGGTGAATGAAGTGTTTGTTTGGGTAAGAGGGTAGATGGTAGATGAAGTCTTAGGGTAAGTTGGCAAGATGAGGTTGAGGCATTTGGAAGGGAATTGTTTGGGGGTGAGGGGAGCATTGGGAGTGGTTATCAGATCCGGGGGGCATGGTGGCTCAGTGGTTAGCACTGCTGCCTCTCAGCACCAGGAATCTGGGTTCGATTCCAGCCTCGACAACTGTCTGTGTAGATTTTGCATGTTCTCCTCGTGTCTGCGTGGGTTTTGTCCAGGTGCTGTAGTTTCCTCCCACAGTCTAAAGATGTGCAGGCTGGGTGGATTAGCCAAAGGAAAATGGAGGGTTACAGTGATAGGGTAGGGAGTGGGCCTTGGTGGGATGCACTTTAGCGGGTCGGTGTGGACTTGATGGGCCAAATGGCCTGCTTCTACACTGTAGGGATTCCATGATAGTTCTGTGAGTGGTGGGAATCGAATAGGTGTGGTTTGAGGTTGGGGACAGGCAGATGGAAATCCAGTCAGGTGAGGTCGAGAGGGAAGATGATGCCCAGGGTAATTAATTGGGGTTTGGGCAAATAGAATTGTTCTGTGAGGGTGGTTAATCTGGGGTGGAGGTGGTGTTACGATACGAAGGCAGACAGCCAACCAAATCAGCCTTTCAGTATTTGCAACGCAGTAAAATTAAATTGTCGAAGACCCCCGTAGTCGCTCCAGTGGATCCTGGCCAGACTTTTAAATAACCAATACCAGACTTTTGAATAACTAATTCCAGACAATGGTTTTATATTTCAAACAATAATACACAATACTCAATAACTTTAGCAGAGGAAAAATTAAACACAAGGCAAACTAATTAATGTCTATACTTTAAATCCAAAACATTTGTGTGAATGACGGCTAAAAACAAAAGAAAAACAGCCTAACAAACAGAGTCAAGGGATAAATAAAAAGAA